CACGATTGACACCATGTGGGACGGTGATTTAGCCGATGTCAGCAACATTTCCTCGGAGAACGACGGTTATAAATTTTTGTTAGTGTTAATAGATGTATTCAGCCGCTTTTTATTCATAGTACCTTTGAAAAATAAGCAGCATCAAAACGTCACAGAAGGTTTAAAGTCAGTTTTTCAAACAGGACGAAAACCTCATACGCTTAGAACAGATAAAAGGAGCGAATTTAAAAATCGCTGGTTAAAAGCGTTTTTAAAAAAGGAGGGTGTCCATGCATTTCCTACCTCAGTACAAAGAAAAAGAATCCTGTGAGCAAGCTGGAAAAAACAATCAAATCGTCGACTAGAAAGAAAAGAACCAAACCAAGTTTTAAGTACAAAATAGGAGATGACGTACGTATTTCACAGCTAAAACATCCTTTTCAAAGAGATTACCATCAAAAATGGACTGAAGAGTATTTCAAAGTGTCTAATCGCTACAAGAGAACCGATATACCTGTGTACACGATAAAAGATTTAGCCGATGATCCAGTAAAAGGCACTTTTTATGAGTCGGAACTTCAAAAAGTCAAGAAGTCGGGAGATGTTCTGTATAGAGTGGAAAAGGTGTTGAAAAAGAGAAAGCGCGGTAATACAAAGGATGTGTACGTAAAATGGGATGGATGGCCTAGTAAATTCAATTCGTGGATTCCCGAAAGTTCTCTAGAAAACGCCAAATAAAAACACTTTTTTCAACGAATCATCATCAGTCAAGATGAGCCTTCGAATGGTGTTGAGGTCTACAGACAGCTCCGAATATTTTGACAATAAACCCAATTGTTTTCGAGTTCAGTTGAATAAACAGATTCAGTTGGATGGATACTGGACAGTTGCATTAACAGAATTTACGACAGAGAGCTGGGATCCCGCGAAGAAAACTCCCGAGGTGTATATATGCTGTGACATATGTGAGGAAACAATTGTTGGTGGCAAAGACGTACCCCTCTTACGACGAGTTTTTCTCGGAGAAAAGCAAGAAAACAACATCATCTACAATTTACCTTATTACCTCCCCGTTAAAATTGGTCAAATACAGCAGATCTGTATATATATAACGGACAGAGCAGGCAACTTAGTGTCATTCTTAGACGGACCGGTGAGCGCTACACTTCATTTTAAAAAGTTTCCTTACGTTTTGTAATGAATAGTCAGACGTACATCAGTGACCCTAAGCTCTGGGAAGCTTTTTACAAAAACATGGCTGAGAAAAAGTTCAACCCGTACAAATATAAACTCAAACAAATTGGAAGGGGTATGAGAAAACGAAAATCTTACATCATTCCCGTTAGACCTCATTCACAGTTAGAATCCGTTAGTCCTATTCCTCAAGTGACACCCGTGGCTGCCGTGGAAGAGAGAGCCAAAACGGAACATGTAAAAGACGTAAAAGAGGGCGTTCCCTTTGTCAAGGTCACGAAGGGTATAAAAAGACCATCGCAACACTCCTCCATCATTCCTACCAAAAAATTGAAGACGTCAACATCGGGCAAAAGGAAGAAAAGCAATCCTGTGAAGAAAACATCAGTCTCTGGAAAGAAAACAAACGGAAGATCTAAAAAACCACCAGGTGGAAAAAGGTTATCACAAAAGCCAAAAAAACTCTTGAAGATCGATAGTTACAAGAACGTTTTTCAGTAGTAAAAATGGCCTTCTTAAGCAGTGATAATAAAGACATAGCCCAACCAATGGAACTTTCTCTCTTTGCTTCACCCACTAATCAAGTTGCAGTCGAAAAAGTGTATTTTACGGAAGCTAGGCCGATATCCAGTATTGGAGTGTCCGATACCCCCATAGAAATAGTCGTATCTGGATCGGGAGCGGAATATATCGATTTAAAAAGAAGTCGATTGTATGTGAAAGGGAGAATTTTGAAAGCGGATGGTACCTCATTAGCGGCCAACGAGAAGACTGGAATTGTGAATCTACCATTGCAAAGCATGTTTTCTCAGATGGATGTCTACTTAAATAACAAGTTGGTTTCCTTTAATACGAATAATTATCCTTGGAAGGCATACCTGAAAACAGTCTTGTTTGGTGGAAAAGAGGAATTATCTTCCCAGAAGCAGTCCCAGTTGTTCTTTAAGGACGAAGGAAATTTGGCTGACTCTAACGCTTACAATGGAGGCAATGCTGGTCTAGTCCTGCGCTATGGTTATACACAAGAAAGTAAAGTATTTGAATTGGAGGGTAACCTTATGGAAGATATATTTGACATCGACAAATACCTGATCAACGGCGTAGATATCTACATCAAGCTTTTTAGATCTAGTGCACCTTTTGTAATGATGTCAGCACAGAGCACCCCGGCGTACAAACTGGAATTACTAGATGTCGTGTACAAAGTGGCCAAAGTGCGAGTAGATCCTGGTGTTCTATTGAACCACAGCAAGCAGATAGAAAGTACTCCTGTGAAATACACCATCTCAAGAAATGAATTGAAAATGAACACCATTCCTAAAGGATCTACTGAATTTTACTGGGACAACATTTTTCCTCAGGCAGTACCCGACCGCATCGTTGTAGGTTTGGTAGATCAGAAGGCTGTAAACGGGGATTACACAACTAATCCATTTAATTTCGAACATTTTGGTGTAACGGATGTAGGGATATACGTAAACGGAGAAAGCGTCCCAGGAAGACCCTTAAAAACCGATTTCACGACAGGGCATTATTCATCAGCATATGCTCGACTGTTTGAGGCCTCCGAAAAATGGAATCAAGACGCTGGTCTAATTATTACTCGAGACAACTTTGGAAGTGGATATTCTCTGTTCGTCTTTACCATAGATCCCTGTGGTTTTGGTGAAGAATATTTAAACCTGATCCGAAGAGGAAACACCAGACTCGAAATAAAGTTCAAACAAGCAACAACAAAAGCTGCTAACGTTTTGGTGTTTGCCACCTTTTCCTCTCTACTAGAAGTGGACAAGTCACGAGACATCAATTATATTCAACCATGAATTCAAAACAGCTCCTCGATTTTGTGCATAAGGAACCCGCCCTAAAACGATTTGTTAAAGGAGTATATGCCAGCAATACTTTACCGGAAGTCGTGACGCGTTACCCTAGTGCCTTCATCATCAATACGCAACCGTTGCCATTTCCAGGAGAACATTGGGTCGCTGTAATCATACACAGTTCCTCGGAGGCAGACTTTTTTGATAGTCTAGGAAAACCACCTGGGAATTATCAAGAGATTGAGAAATTTATTTATAAGAATAGTAAACATTGCAACTTTAAATGTAAACAAATTCAACCTTCTTATTCAGATTTGTGTGGACTTTACGTACTTGTATTTTTAATTTCTAGATTATGTCTTAAATTGTCTTTATCACGTGTTTATGCTCTATTTTCTCGTAGTATTCAATTAAATGATGACTTTGTACGTAGTTTCATGAATGAATTCTTGTATCAATAAACATGACATTGGTGACTTTTTAATAAATACTCGATCAGTATTACATGTCAGATCATTCGTTAATCAGTAGAGGAAAGGGAAACATGGCAAAGCAGAGCGAATGGTGGAAAACAAAATCTTTACTACCATTTTCAGCACCCACCACAATTTTGATTTGTGGTAGTACGCAAAGCGGAAAGACCCATTTCACTAAACGACTCTTGCAAAATGCAGATGGCATGTTTTCCACTTCTGTAGATAAAATCATCTATGCGTATTCTGAATATCAACCCATGTTTGACGAAATGACGGCAAACATACCGAGACTCGTTCTTCACCAAGGATTACCCTCCAAGGAAGATATAGAGCAGTATACAGAGGGTGTAAACCACACGATAGTGGTATTAGACGATCTAATGCTACAAGTTGCTCAATCGCAAGATTGTGTACATCTTTTTACGGTGACTTCTCATCACCGTAACATTACCACTGTGATGCTCTCTCAAAACTTGTACCCTCCTGGTAAATATGCCAGGACCATATCCCTGAACTATCTAAATGTGATTTTATTCAAGAATTATCGTGATTCCCGCCAGATCATCACCTTCGGATCGCAAATATTACCAGGATGTGTACCGTTTTTCAAAGCAGCATACGAAGCTGCAACACGTAAAAATTTTGGTTATTTGCATGTGTGTTTAGAACCTACCCAAAACCAAGAGTACCAACTGCGATCTTGCATATTGCCTGGAGAGGACATGGTTATTTATCAACCCCTATAAATACATGTTCTTCATCACAATTTATTCATAGTGCAAAAATGAATCGACGAATACGGAAGCAGAGAGCATTTATACATTTTATGCTAAGTGCAAACAACGCTCAACAGAAATTGATTGTCAAGTCTTTGACTAGCGAGCAATATGATGTCATCAGTGAAATTGCTCTGAATATTTACACGGGAACCTATCCTCTGACGAAGAAGTATATAAGTCAGCTGAAACCTTACCAATCGTACATTCGATCACTGGGATCGAGAGAAGTCAGTACGAGACAGAAACGTGACATTTTATTGAAACACCTACCCTTAGTATCACTGTTACTGAAACCCATTGGCCATCAATTAGACAAAAATGGCTAGAGAAATGATATTAGTGCCTAAATTAAAATACGAACATCTCCTTAAAAAAATCGAGGATAAAGAAGAGCCTGTTAAAGCAGACACCGTAAATGACGACAAGGATCCAAAACCAATGTCTGAAAAGACCTTCGTCGATACAACTATGAGTGAATCAATCAGTGACACCTCAAAGACAGGAAATGGTTACATCAGTAGAACTCAAACAATAGGAAAACCCCCTGGTGTGCCCATGAAACGACGCAAGAAACACATTCCTTGGCTTACGTACTGAGTGTTAAATTTGGAAAGAAAAAAAAATACTGTTCTTGTGAAAACAAATTTTATTGTACATAACGTAATATACATTATTGTAAATGATAATAAATATATCAAATGTGACTAATGAAATAAAGATGGATATTAAAATGTACATGATTTGTTTTTTTTTTAACAAAATCCAAATGGCAGCGTATCTAAATTGGGTAAAATTCTCCTTTTGGTGTAAACCATTTGATATCGTTTGGTTTCTATACGGTTTAACAATTTTCTTTTTCGACTGTCCCTGGTTATTTTACAGGGGTTGGTGATTTCAATCTGCTTATCTTGTGTTGTACAGATCAAGGATTTGATAGCATCGAAATTAATTATTTTAGAATTAGCCCAATTTAATGTAAAACCACGAACTTTACATTCTTCCTTGCCAGAAAGAGTGCGGTATGCATAATTTTTGGGACCCCCCGACACGTATTCTACAATGTAACCATCATCTGGTTTGATTTCGTTGGTCAATTCCCCTAAATAATTTCCTATGGGTAGATAATGCAACTCGTCCGACTTTTGTGTTTTAAATATGACACTATCTGTATCGAAATACAGAACGTCCTCCCCCAACCGATCTAATACACTATATAAGCGCAGCCGTGCATGCGCAGTCGTAAAACTTGCCAGAAATATGTTTGTTTTGCAATCATGAGGCATAAACATGGAATGATTACTCCATTCAAATTGAAGGGTGTCCTTGGAAACAATGTGAAAATTGTGGGGGACTTTCGTAGGATCTGAGAGAATCTGAAAAAATTTATCACATTCGGATTCATGAAAGAACATGGATTGCTTCATGCTTAGTCTCTGACCAAATTTTCCCCAAAAGCTATTAAGACAGAGTTTGGCTAAACAGCGCAAACCCGGATTTTTCTCAATTCTGTCGTACTCTAAGTCTATGCCCTCTTTTTCTTTGTATTGTCTTATATATTCTTGTTTCGACTCTTCACTTACACACTCGGGAGGAAATCCCGAGGCTTCCTGTTTAATCTTAAGGAACGTATTAACATACTTTGCAAACAGACCCCCCTCACCCGAAGTTGGGTCGTACTGAGTCGATTGCTCAAAGTGATAAACCTCGTAAATTTTCAAAATTTGGTACCCTTTCGACACTGCCATTTGGATTTCGGGAGTACACCACGTGCCCGTGATGGTTCTTTGCTCTACAGAACAAGTACAGGCGTGCTGATTTTCAGCGTCTGCACATGTTCGACATAAAGGAAATTTTAGTTTTCCTTGAGATCGAAACGGAAGTACAGGGTGGTACAATTTTGTTGGCGGCAGGACTTTGATTTTGGCAAGACCGAAATAGTTTGATATATCCCGAAAATCCTTCGTGATAATGGTCGGATGACCCACGGGATAACGACAGTATTTATTTGTCCAAGGATAGAGACTGGTGAAATCGTAGTACGGAATCGCTTCGGCATCTTTAGCTTTATAATGGAGTTTTATGGCATTGGTGCGTCCGCCAAAGAAACTGTCTCGGGGATCTAGTCTGTCTTGTAGATCCAGTGTGTTGATAAATTGTTGCAAGTCGGTGTTTTTCTCCAGCTGGTAGCGAAACTGGTGCTCCCATACGACGACCAGATCGTATCCGAGCTCCTTGAGTTCCCTTTCTCGCTTCTTGGTCATCTTAAAGAGTTCGTCTAATGTCTGCTTTGTCGCAGGGTGCTTGACATCAGATCGATCCTTCTGGAAGCAATCCGGACATCCATGGTACACACAGCCTAACAAAACACATAAAACAAACGTTTTCAACGCAAGATTCGCCGCCGCCGCCGCCCCCCTCCCCTCAGTTAGGGGAAAGGGAGGGGCAAATTTAATACCAAATGTTGTAATACATAGTAAAAATGTCTTACCATAAAATTCGTATATGGTGCCTTTTCCGTTAGGTTTCTCTACAAATCCGTCACATCGGTATTTCGTACCCGGAATCTGATATTCTCCACCATTGAGAGCGTGACGGATATGAATGGGTTGCCCTCGACGTTGTGACTTGACCATAAGCCATTCTAACCATTCAATAGAGATCTTGCTGAAATTATCTTTACTGACGTATCCTTGAGAAGGCACGACAGCAATAGGGCTTGTCAGTTTTTGATTTCCAACTGCTGTATTTTCCTCTTTTTCCAGGTCGCTGAGGGCTACCCATTTTCCATCAAGCCACACCCCTTTTACCCCCTCAAAGTTCTCCATCTGATGCCAGGTGGATGTCTGGTCCCTCGTAATTTCTACTTCAAGGTTGTGTTTAAAAAATAAAGTTTTATAAATACCCATACAAACACTGGCAATCGTTACGTAATTAAAGGGGTCTACGCCATCTATGGTCGTTGATGAAATAGTTCCATCGGGTTGAACATGCGAAGTTTCTATTGTCGTGGCTTGAAGTACAGTATTTCGGAAAGCTATGCAACCCCTTCTCAAGATGTCGACGTCTGAACGACAGTACTTCAGCATCTCCTCCTGAAAGTTAAATGTTTCGGAACTTTTACTTGCATGCCATTGAGCCAATTTCTTTCTCTCTCCCGATGACATTAAGTTGTATCCGTAATACTCTAGATCAGGAAAGGGACCCACGTAACTTTGATTTTCTTTCTTGTTAAAAAAATGTGGAAAAAATCCTTTACTGAGTTCCTCTAAACCAAAGGCTTCGGGGATCTTTGCCAGTTTCATCGGTAGGAAATTCAACGAATCAAGAAAAGTTAGATTCAGTTTGTTGGCGATGTGCATGTACATTACTTTGGATCCGTTGTAGATGATTTTGTCAGGACGAATCGAATGACGGTCTATGAGAACCTCCAAAATTGGATATAGATCAAAGCTTTTGGCATTGTGGGCGATCAAGATCGTGTTTTTAAGATGAGGTTGAGTCACGTAAGAACAAAACCGTTGTGCTGCATCTTCTCCTCTAAATACAAGTTCCCGATGACCGCAGCTATCAGGACAAGGTGGACCCACAAACTTTGATTTTTTCATTTTAGAACATCGGATGCAACGTACGCCGCACTTGCTACATTTCGAATTTTCTTTTAAATCTTCATTTTCACAATCGTGGCATGAGGTTTGAAGTACAGCAAAATTGACCTTATGCTGTTCCAGACCGCAAGACGGATCTTGACAATGTCGACACAGCCTACAGCTTGCACATTGATGTCCTTTAGGAGCACATTCTCGACATCTGATGCCAGAAGAGTTGTATCCCTCCTCACACTGATAAATATCGTCTTGTCGCGTCTCAAAGTCATAAAAGATGAATTTCTTCGTCTTTCGTTCTTCGGGATCCAAACTGCAAGATTTTTGAAAACAGAGATGTTCCCCTACGCGGTATTCCAAACAACTGGAACATTGCCACTCACCGCAGACATGAAGTTTGGGATTGCGTTTAGCAGCTGAAAGCTTTACACGACATTTCCTACACTGATGCCACAGCTCGCATGCAGGAGGAATCTGTTCTTTCTGCACAGTTTTACCCACCTTATGTCTTTTGAAACACTCGAGGGAACGGCACACGCGACCACAAGATAAGCATCCTACTTTTATTTCCGTTTCCACACAGTTATCGTGCAGACACACATCACAAGAAGTTGAACACGTATGCTTGAATTTGGTTTTGTAAGGTTTCAAACAAGTATGACAAAAATAAGCTGCATTGAAAAAGCCTTGGATACTACTAATGCCATGCCAATGTTTTTCATTTTCCGATTCTACGTGGTACAAAAACAGACATGTTCGCTCTGGCTCCTTTGCTACCTTGACAAATTTATTCCCTACTCTCGATGACACGACATTGACACTCACGTCCAGCAGGTTTTCAAAAGGTTCTATGTCGTTCAAGCCCAGATATCGGTCAACAGGTACACCAGCTTTTCTGCAAAGTTGCAATGCCATCTCTGTCTGCCCTTTCTTGCGAGATTTTTTGAGCAAGTTACCATAATACCATTTTGGAACGGTTTTGTGTTGAATTGCGTGCTCTAGAATTGTTCCAGGATTCCCTCTGATTAAATGCTCCCATTCATTGGCATCAACCTTCTTGCAGGTTTTCAAAAAACACAGACCTATGGCAATGGGTAAGCATAAATTGTTGTCATTTTCCACATACAGTACAGATTTCTTTCTCATGAGGGAATTCCCGGGTCCAAAGAGAGACGTGACAGCCAATTTATTTCCACTCCAACTTCCTCCTCTCATCATATTGATGGATCCTACTGTAACGAGCAGGTGATCGTCCACAGGTATATTTTCGTTGGAATTCAATACCATTGATTTCCGACATCACTGTGTCCGAGTTTAAATTCTCCCATGACTGCAGTGGCACAACTATGGCATTGTTTAAATTTGGGTGACTTAGGACCACTCGACCCAAATCAGCATCACTACCTCTGGCTTGTGACAAAACGTCATCAAACATATCATGCAAATTGTCATAAATGTCCACTAATTTTTCCCCTCGCCATTGGTCGTTAAATTTGATCTTGAAACTCGTGTCAATGGCCAGGTTCTTTTTATAAGTCCTCGTGTCCTTTTTCCATATAAAGTACGGTTTTTCAACAGGTTCATTCCCACCTCCGGATTGTCCGCTGGTAGATGGTTGGTCATCAGTATCATGTGTCAGTCTTGGTCGCTTTGCGGGGGCATCCAATTCTTGTACCACCTCTTGCCACAAGTCATCTATGTATCTCTCCCATTCAAGCTCTTGCAATCTGTTCTCAACCTCCACATCACCTACCAGACCGTTGGCTGCTGCGAAGAGTTGTATAGTATCTGGATCCTCCAAGGAGTCAAGTATGTCTTTCAGAAGGCTGTTGTCCGACATCCTTTTAATACCAAAATTTAAATCAAAATGAATTCATACACAATATTTTAATCTGACCTCAGCATTCTGCAATAAGCAAGTTGAGTTATGTATTTTGTATATATATATATATATATATATATATATATATATATATATATATATATATTCTCGAACAATTTTAATTGTTATTCACTCAAATATAAACAGATAAATAAAACACTTGAGCTTCAAAAAAAATTTTTTTTATTTCATGATACATAAAAATACTTTTTACCTTGTATCAAATAACAAAAAAAACTAAATAATAAAACATGCATAATAAAAAATATACAACTTATTTTAAAAGAAAAAAAATCTAAAAAACTGTATATGTTGATCCAAATTATATGAGGCTTATAAGAAAAAAAAATCTTGATTCCTCTTTTTGTCTCATGGAATGTAAAACAAAAATTCTGTAAACAACATCTAAGAAATAGCCTACCTTGGACTAGAAAACACTGCAGTACATAATCTCACTTTTTTTTTTTATCAACAATGCAAGTTGAAAAAAACTATCACACAAGAAAAGAGGCCTTTTTCTCGTTTTAAGAATTACTGAAAAAACAGCACCACAATAGATATATCTTATCTCAGAATAGATATTTCAAAAAATACACAATACAGGTAAACGTATTGATCACATAAAAAATAATACTCGTATGGTCGTTATATTTTACCATGTATGAGGTATCATGAAATTTAATACTGTACACACCTAAGTACTACAAAATCTGGCTTTCATTAAACAATCAACAATCAAGTAAGAATAAAATCCCCCAAAACGTCCAACTTCTCATACCTTACATAATCTCATGTAAAACATAACATTAGAGCAAACATCATATGTACTAAAAAAATCTCTGTTTTCATTCAACATTAGGGTAAAAAAAAATCATTGGATGTTGTTCTGTAGAAAAAAAAATCCTTCTACACACACAGACAGTTCCTTTTTCTCTTTCACTTTAAAAAATAAGCTTAAGCACTTTCATGCAAAACATAACTTTGATGGAAACATCATAGCACATGTCAAAAGTACTAAAAAAAATTCTCACTTTTAGACATCCAAGTAGAAAAAAAAATCATTCAATGTTGCTCTGCAGAAAAAAAAAATTCCTTTGACAAACACACTAACAGCCAATCCTCACACAAAATTCAAAATTCTCTTCACTTTAAAACCTTTTTAGCTGTTGTGGATCTGTTTGTTTCTGCAAATACCACAAACCCTCACCCCAAAACACACACAAAGTTCCAAATTCTCTTTACTTTAAAACCTTAACTTTTTTCCCTGTTTTCGATCTGGTATTTGCGGAAACAGGCAGATCCACCAGAGGTGTTTGAGCACAACTAGTACTAGAGGTGTCCAAGATTTTAGGCTGAGAGGTAGCAGTAGGTTGTATTACAGGTAGGTCTCTTTGAGCGTCCGATTCTTGCTGAGTGGTGGGTGGGGAGTTAAATAAAACTCGTTTTGCGGTATGGGTGTTTACCAACTCAGGTAAACTTGAGGATGGTCTCAGTAGAGGTTTGCTGGAGCAAGTGGTGAACGTGATTTCAGATGTGTTGGTCGACCCAGGCTGCAAAGTACTATCGCATGCAGAACTTGGCGTTGTTGCCTCACTGGGTGGTGTATGCGGAAACATGGGAATGTGTTCTCCCTGTGTTGCAATCTCCTCTTGCACATCATTGTTGTTGCGCTTTTTACATAGGCAATGACGTCTTCCTCTTGAAAGGTATCGCCTAATACAAAGGAGAATGAGTGCAGCAGTGACAGATGCGGCCCATGAGAGGAAACCTATTATACAAAAAAAATAATAATATAAATAATACATCTAGTTTAAAAAAAAATGATTCAATTTATTACTGGTATTTGGAACTATAGATTTGCTCTAGTTTCTTTCAACTGGTTTACACAAGCTCATGTTTACTGACAGATGGACATACACAGTGAGATTCCAATATTATATGAAGATTACACAATTTATTTTTTTTTTCCAATGTAAAAATTAAAGCATTATTTTGTTTACTATTTTCAAAATCAATATTTTGTTCCAATTAAATTCACAATTTGATGTAGAAGGACACACTGACCGATAACTTCATCATGCTCATAGATGTCCTCAGTGGTTGATCCTTGTGATCTTACTGGTACCGTTAATTTGGGATGTATTTCTAAAATGAGATGAATACTGTTGTAAGTTGCTACAAGATAACTAGTATTACTGAATTAACAAATAAAAAAAACAATACATGCAGTTTAAAAAAGAATGTAATTATACTTGCTTAATTACAACTTTTAAATACTTACTACTTAAATACTATGTACTTATAATTAATAATAATAATTATTTAAGGACTAATATTATGACATCCATTTCTTAAAACTGGTCTACAAACTATTGTTACTGTCAGATGGAAAGATATGTTGAGATTTCAACAGCATGTAATTGCTGATTATCATCTGAAAATTACACAATTGATTTTTTTCTGCAAGCATTTTGCCCTTATTAAATTACTAATTTAGAGTACACTGCCACACTGACCTACAACCTCATGGTGTTCATAGATGGCTTTCTCTCCTCTTGGTACAGGGACAGTGGTTGATCCTCTTGATCGTAATTTAGGATGTACTTCTAAAATTAGATAAATAATGTTGTATGACTAGTATCTCATCAAAATGTCACATTTGGTACTTTTGTTCTCTCTCCCTCTCTCTCTCTCTCTCTCTAAAACAGAGATATAATTACAGGGTCATATAATACTTGATATCAAATTTCCTACATTTCCTTTTAACAAATATGTTATATCCTGTTGTCTTTGTGGGTTATCACAATAGACTGCCACGTGTTTGTTTACATCACTTATTTTACAAAACCATTAATGTACAAGTGCTCTATTCCATGAGTTAATATGCACACACACACACACACACACACACACACACACACACATAAATTTGGGGTAACAGCTGTGTAATGCAACTTTAAACACACGTGTTACAGTTTTGGTGTGCTATTTGCTTACTTTTCAGTGTGTCCTTGTTTGTCAGTTCTTCTCCACTTGTACTCGTAAATGTCCATTCGTTTACTACTAATAAAATAATGAACAGTATTATATAAACACTTAACAAATATTCAGACTTGGAAATTTCACACAGTTAAATCAACTAATAATCAATTACCTCACGTTGTGTTGATTGACTGTAATTGGGACGGTCATCAATCACACGAAATGGATCTGCAAAAAAAAAAGTAGATCTAGTAAGAACTTGAACACAACACCAGGTATTTTCAAAAGGGGTGATGAGTGGCGACTCGACATATTCAAAACATTTCTCGTCTCTATAATATGTACCTGCACAAAGTCGGTAGTAGGGATTTTGAAAATATAAATAACACAATTAAGATTTCAATGTCAATGATCAAGAGAGCATATCAACAGTTAGCCTACTCTGAACTGTTCCCTCAAGGTCATCAGTTATGCAGTCGAGGATGTTCCGGATAACGAACCCGATGATATTGTTTGTCCCAAATACCACAGCTCCGAGACCAGTCAAGTAAAATTGGGGACGAGTAAATTTTGAAAAATAAAATTAGTTTGATAAGGTTTATGATGCCATTGACTAATTGTGTTGAAATATTACTTACCGCATAATCTATTCGGAGCGTGAATTCTGACATCTTTGGGATCACCGATGATAGTGACTTTGCTAATGTAACATCCAGTCACATACACGTCTCTGACTTCAGATGACCGAACGGTTATTTCTCTACATTCGGGAAACATACATTTTCTCACTGGGTTGCCAATTGCTGAGGTAAAGAGCCAGATTAATCCTACTAAGGGAAGACCTCCGCGTTTCTCCATCTTGGGCGGGCGAACACATGTGGCATTTGGGGATTCGCATTTGGGCACAAGGGTTGACCAATGAAAATTACGGTTTCATCATCTTGCATCAATTTAGGTGACATCATGTACCCGCATCGTGTTCCATGCTTATAAAATAATTATTACCAGGGGGCGGATCAAGAAAAATATTGTCATTGATTAATAAAAAGGAGAGGGAGAGAAAAAAAAAGATGTTACGTATGCTTAAAAATATGTTACTTTGTTGTTTTTTTTTTTTTAAATTTTCTTATTTCAAACAATCATTATAAATATGCAAATACAAACATAAGAAAATATGAGAGAGAAGAGAGAGAGAGAGAGAGCAGTACATCAATGGGGAACAATTTTTCCCAGTGTATTCTTTCATGATTGAACATGTTGAATGTACATAGATTTAGAGTATATGCATTTATGTGGGTTAATTAATTTCTCGAGTCCAGTCTTAAAAAAAAAAAAGATTCATGCATGCGTTACACCCGTGAGAAATATACACGTTATTTTTAATATACAAATGATTAACTAGGAGTGTCATCTCGTCTTTTGCGCAGATGTGTCACGATCTGGCGCCTGTTTTTGAAGGAGAATAAAATTACCGGGTTAATTTGTATTACATCTTACGTCAGGAAATACGAAATTATGAATATTAATTATCATCACGAGGTGTCACTCTATTCCTGTACCATATAATAATTTGACAAGGAAATAAAATAGTTTAACCCCACCCTCTATATTCTCTATCCTCAAGATTGGTATATATATATATAAGTTTATGGGGATGTAATCTGAGCACACCACGGTCGGAGATAAATTTGAACCAAACATGGCTGAGGAATATGTACCGATTTTGTAAGTTATATTTATATATATATTAGTATTTTTTATGTATGGAATTCAATATTCAATCATCTAACACATTGTTCTTTTCATCGAAATCCTTTAATTGACATTTGGGTTAAGATTTAATATAATTTGATAATAGCATCTCATATGCACAGTCAAAATTATTTTCCAACACGTGGATGCAAGTGTGCTAAATTCTGATAGCACTATTTTGAATTAACTCTGTCTTATATACTAGTAAGTATATATCTACGCCGTACGTACTGAGTGCATACACTGCATGTCAAAATTTGACTGGAAAATGCTTACATGTAATAGTATGTATTTTAGCATGAAATAAACAGAGCATTACAAAAAAGTTAAGATTTTTAGATGCATCATGAGAAAATATCCTCAAGGGTACTGAAATAAAAACCTGATTAGTACTAATTTATATTTCTTCTTACAATGTTTAAAGTAAAAATCCTTACATGGTTGAACTTGAACAATAGTATAATTTTTAAAAAATATACATATATTTATTTTTTTTTTGGTAACAGTGAGGATGCAGATTTTGATGCACTGTTGGACAGTCTGTGCGACACTCCATTACAGTAAGTGTTACACGATGTCATAAATATACAGAACTTAGAATATCCCCTATTAAGAAAGTATCACACAAAACGGACTTGAATGATTCGTTCTTTCGTGCTTATTACTTTTTTCATCCTTGCACAATAATAGAAAACATGAATTTTGTTGCTGTTGTTGTTGAACCAGATTGATTTTAGTATTGATTTTTTCTGATTTCTTTTTTTTTTTATTTTTGTTCCCGTTATTAATTTTTTTTAAACAATATTTTACTTCTTTATTAAATTTTGTCTCTCTTTTTTTTTAAGACCTCCCTCCTTTCCTCTACCAACATCTTCCCAGATGTCTGAAAAATCCACTCCAGCGGTCCCAAGGAAAGAGTCCTCTGTTTTAAAGACCCTGCTTACGAACCCGTCCCTTCAAAATGTAAAGGGATCATCCCTTCCTAAAAATAGGAATGCAAACAATGCCCTCACATCCTCAGGGTCTGCTGAGAACTTGCCTTCAACATCCAAGACGAACTCAAAGAGGAATGAAGAGAACTCAATCCTCACTACTTTTAGGTAAGTCAATTAAAATAAATGTGAAGTATAAATTATTTATAATGTGCCTCTCCGTTTCATACTCCAGGTTTGCACAGTATTTAAGATTCTTTTTTTTTTTTTCTTTTAAAGAAAAAACGACCCAAAGAAGTTCCAGGATCTGGAAAATCGTTTCACGGACCCAAAAATAACCAAAACCAGAGAATTTCAAGTGTTGAAATCCTTACAAAGAAGGATTTTAGAAGACATGCAACAGAGCGAAATTATTGTGAACTATCTTGCCGACAAGTATGACAATGAACCAGAGAAAAAACGTGTGAAGTTTTCTTCTCTACAATGAAAAACCAACTCTAACGTTCATGACACAAGGTTCAGTAAAAGAGGATTTGAATATAAAATATATCTATTTGTAAATTAGCAGATGAACCCGAGAAGAAGAGGGTCTAGTTTGATTCCCTTCGATAAGCTCTAAGCTCAATCGCTTGTAAATGTAACATAAACTGAAAATAGCAATTTAAAGATGTAAAACTGTAAGTTAGCTTTTTTTTCTTCTTCGAGACTGTTCTTTCTGTAAAGAAATTTATTACCTAGGATTTTGACCAAAGCTTAAAATGTTTCATGTTCCTTTGACCTGGTATAATTAATCTCCCTACTTGGACTTGTTTTTAAAATCTAAATGAAAAATAAACGTACCTTCAGAAGGAAAAAAATCTTCAGTTATTCTTCCAACGATTTTCCACTTGTATTACTTTGTGGTATATGCCATAAATTTTTATATAGGAAAATATCAAGGTGACCTAAGTCTGTTCTAATTATCAGGTGACTCCAGGCTGTTAGTGGCCTCAAAATTATCAAGGTGACCTTAATCATGAGCTGAATGATGAAATGGGTGACCCCAAACGGATGACCTCAAACTGACCCATATATCAGAGTGACCCTGTTATCAAGGTGCCCACAAGGTTACCTATATATTAAACTGACCTCATTAGCCTCAAGGTGACCCTGTTAAGGTAAACCAAATTTTGAGATGCCCTCAGACAGTTTTGATGACTAATGTAAGTGCCCCCAGACTGTTTTGACCTCAGACAGTTGTGACCTTGTATTGATTTTGACCTAGTACCCTTGATCTGACCTACTTTCTTGACCTTGACCTATATCAATGACGTCATTGCCCTCAGAGACTACAGACTATACCCCTCACTACTTATGGACAAAGAAGGGTTCATCAGAAGTACAGAGCAGATCAAATCAAAAGGACTAAAAAATAAAGAAATAGTAACAGATCGTCATATTCAAATTGTGAAATATGTGAGAGAGGAGATGCCCCAGACAATTCATCATTTTGATATATGGCATGTTGCAAAAGGTAGGTTCGTTAGTTTTAAAATTACTAGCATACTAGTAGCTCTTAAGCATAACAAAATTGATAGATAAGATTTTTTTTACGTACAATTTAATTTTCAAGGCTGAAAAAGATTTATAGCAATTGCCAACATGGTCCTCTGGAGGGTAGAGAGAGAAAGAAGAAATGGTTACAACCTGGTAAATTTAGAATTTTATTTATTAAAAATTGATTTAAAAAAAAAACAAAACACTATTTATCATGGAGTTATTATTAAACTTTTTTTTAACACAGGAAGCAAAGTGGCTGAACGTCTCTCGGACATCGTATTATCCAAACAAATGAAAAAAGATGTCCCCAGGACCACAAACGGCATCACTAGAGGGCTTTCCCTCCATTATTAATCACTTCGCCCCTAAAATGATAGGATTTTCATATTATGGGATGTTTTCCAGGTATTTTTCATTAAATATAACTATTATTATACATATATGAAGACTATATATTTAACTGGGTTAAAAAGAGTTAGTTGACAAGAGAGTAGCCCTTAAACAATAATATGATGAAGGAAAACAAAATTTTCTATTATTATATTCATTGGTCAGTTTTATTTTCTTTGCAGAATCATATTAGCTGCTAGGTATTTCAATGAAAATGCTTCTAGAGAGCAAGCAGCCACAGAAGAAGGCAGAAAACGATTTGACGTCATTTATCCGAAATATAAAAAAGGAGATTATTCTGTCAGAGAAGTGAAAGTCAACTGCACATATGATATAAACACTTGAATATACAAATTGTAACCCTACTGTCAGTTCACATACTGTATTATGATAAGTAAGTACACTAATAATCTGAATGTTCTCTTTGTAGGTTACATTGATCAGTTGATGGATGAAGTAAT